AAAACTGTTACGCGTTACTTCTCACTGACCGCCGGGAAACGCACTACTGCGGAGGATGCCAATAACTCAAGCTAATTTTTAGTGTAATTAAACTCCTAAACTCTTGTTTTTTTTAAGATCTACCTACCATACTTAGTAAATAGTTTCTTGAAATAATTAACGAAACAAACAGAGTAAATCGTGGAAAAGATCCTCGTTATTCAAGCAACGCAGCAATCTCTCAAGACAACCTTTGCCATCGACTTAACATGGTGATATATAGATCATTTATTTCTTTGTATTTTATATAGTCTGTAAAATCGTAACATTATTATAAAAGAGACGTCACGTCTAAATTAAAAACTGCAGATTTAAGTTTCATTAAAGTTAAATGTAAATAACAACAATGTGCTAGTATATCATAACTAACAAATTCATATTTAGTGTTGCTTACGGATTACAACTATCGGATAACGCATTTATACCTATATATGCCACAGAAGTTGATCTAATCCCATAATTAAGTTTTCCAAACAGCATTTTCTAATAATGTTTTTGATAGCATATAAGATACTCGTATTCCTTACGTTTATTAATATAATTCATTTTCTATATTCTACTGCTATTTGAACGAATATAAATCCACAATCCAATTAAAATAACAACACACTGCACAAGCATGAACACTTCCCAGTGAAAAATCAACACGGATCTCATCAATGATTCATAACCAATATACCAATGGCAGAAACATTTTGAATTTTTAAATGGATAACAAAACATTTGCCGTTCGAATATTGCAATAATAATTAGCTGGCTGCCAATTGCGCGTCAATTTGCATCAGATATGAAATATGCATTAGAAATTATAATGTGATTGACATCTGCTTAGATGATCTGCTTATTATGAAACTAGTTTTAGTTTGTCTCAACTTGGTAATATAATTTTAAATGTATAGTTTAATATATTCCAATATCTGAATTCGAGTTTGAGAAGTGTCATCAAAAATGGGAAGCGTATTTTTAAGACTTGTGAGAAAATATTTGCACGTCACCAAAAGTGGTAATTGAATTAGAAGTTTTATTATTCCGGGAATTGTCAAAGGCATAGAGAGTTCGTGACGTTCCTATTTGTGTAAGTAAAAAAAAGTCGCCAATCAAGTTTTCATTTTAAAAAGTCTGAATACCACGACAGTACTCTTTGTCATTTTTACCGTTACTATCTTCGGTTTACTTAAAAAAAGTGTAAATTTTTAAATGTAATATAAAAAATCGTTGACGGGGGTCGCGCCTAAACCGAAATTAGGGTTTATTCGTACACGACCTTTTATTGCACTCTGACACGAGACGTTTCTGTGATTACCCGTATTTTTTGCACAGAAGATTTTTATTGAGATATCAACATTTTGGGAAACGGGTGGTTAGATAATGTTACCATCGTCGAACACAACAATATCGTAACCCCTTCAAGTTTACTTAGACATGTGAACTTTTAAAATGTGGGTTTCAAGAAATCCACTTATAAAAAACCAGCTGAGAGCGAGACTGATAGGTTTTCCTGTAAGCCACAAATAGAGAAGGAACTCATTTATACTTTTTTGTTCAAAAATTTAGGTCGAATAGTTTTGCAAATGAGAAGAATATAAAGATTTTTTTTTTTCTTAAATAACATTAAACTTGTAAGTATTATAAAAAAAATTGGCTTCATGTCTGGTTTTTTAATAAAGTAATAAACGCATGAGTAGGTGATAATGTCAATTATTATAAATGTATATCAAACTGAAACTATAGCACAGAAAATATGCGATACCCATATTTTATGACATCTATTATACCTACACCATTTTTTATGCAATAAACAAATGATTAATTGATTGATTGGCTCAGTAGTTTCAGAATAAATCTGCTGTGACAGACCGACGAAAATACAAACATTCCATTTTTAACTTTGTAGCGCGGAACCCTAAAAATCGGACACTATTAGTGTGCTTTATCTAAGCTTATATTTCGTAATCGCTTCATTAAGCGGTTGTTAATAGTGAAAATGCCATCAAAGGTCTTTGGTCTTTTATGGCCAATGGTTCGGAAGTACCGCGGTCAGCGTTAGCTGGTCGTTTGTGGCTCGTAATGGCGTTCACGATTGGCCTTTTTACTGTGATGTCACGTACCGAAGCAAGATAAAGCAAATATGTGTGAAAAGAAAGTAACTATAACTATATAAATGTATTGTTTAGTATAATAATTAGATGGACACGCGAATTTTTGCTTACTATTATTTTGTCGTCATCTTTGCAAGCCGGCTGCATTAATAACTATACTCTCTATAATAATTATACAAAACTAATTGAAATATTCATGTTTGTAGTAATTGAATAGTATTTTTAAATTATTTAAATTTTCGATAATAAATTATTTATGTATTTTTTTTATAAAAACATCAGGTTAGTAACATTATTTTTAAATATAATATTGCACGTTATTCATCGTTATTTTCGATTTTTTATTTGTATGAGAAGGTATAAAGGGTTCCGTTAAATTTCACTAATATTCATAAATTTGAAAATTTACACATCGTATAACACTGACCATGTTATATTCAAGTTGTGTCCTTTTTTTGAAATTTGTTGTATTTTTTTATATGTATTTCAATCGTTTCTATAGATGTACACTTCACAATATAACCGTGTTTAAAACGACCGGAACTAAGTGTCTGTCCGTACTTCACAATGCATTGGTTTGATTGCAACATAACACCCACAATATTGCATTACTATCACTAGCTGACTGTCATTTGATAGGCGCTCGCGCATCTTTGTCCGTCTGTAGATACACGTCCGGTACTTTATGAATGAGCTCGTTTGAAAAATGCTGACACACAGGACAATTGTTTGATAGTATGAGTAAGTTTAGTAGAGTGACAGCCAGTTGCACAAACTTTCATTAAAATTTCATTAGCTTAAAGCGACATAACCCATAATGGATGTTTGTGCAACTGGCCGTGAGTAGCTCGGTGGCGTAGTGGATAAGCGCCAACCCGCGATCGTTGGTGTTAAGCAACTTTCGCAAGGGTCAGTCACGGGATTGGTGACCAAAAAAACTTAATATTATTTCGAGCTACTCCATGCTTCGAAATGCACATGAAGACGTTGGTTGATAAATACCCTCCAAACTGCGTTGGGTCAGCATTGCCACCCTCCGCTCATGGCCCAACCTCCTTAACTGTTGTTTTTAAGGGTATTGTACTAAATATGTATTATTTTGTACTTCATATTCTGTTAATGCCTCAAGGTAGTCTATAAACGGAACTACAATTTGGTTTAAAAACAGTACAATGTACAATTTTGCAATATCTTGTCACCCTATTACGGAATAATACAGAGTTCTGATTGTTGGGAATATTTATACATATACCTTGCAGCATTTATACAACACTTTAAATGATGATTTACTCAATAATGTGACAACACTATCACATACGATTGGAACGTGCGTCCTGCATTTTTATTATTCTTCAACTATTGTTTGTAAATTAAGAAACCAGCAGAGGCAGCTGCCGCCACTGATATCGTTCGGTAATAATTTCGCAAATTCTCGTATCTAAGAATCGACGCCCACTATCACCTTTCTATGGACAATCCAGACGCATCATCAAATTTGCAAGAAATTCAATACTTTTACAATTCGCGTACGTAACCCAACAATTGATTTCCGTTTCCTTTACAGATAGTACCCTGCCCTTCTGCTATTCCAGTTAGGTTTATCGAGATTATCAAATACCTTTTAATATTGCATTGACTGAAGTATATTTTTATTAATTCTTTGGAATATAAAATATTGCGAGTTAAAAATAACTAAAATTCACTACAAAATGACCGAAATAAGTAAAATAACTATTTGTGAACTTTTTAATCTAATTATTCACAATTCTGGATGGTTAAGTATAATGTGGATTACAGAGTCTTAACGTGCCTTCCGAAGCACGGAGTAGTACTAGATAATAATTTTTTGGTCACCCATCCCGTGACCAACCCTTGCGAAAGTTGCTTAACGACACCGTTCGCGGGCCGCGGTGCTTATCCACTACGCCACCGATCTACTCTAATTCACAATTTTTAAAATAAGTTAAATATTAAAAAAATAAGGTTTCTGCATGGCCGAAAGAATATCTTCGTATAGCCTAATAAAAAAAACAATAATAATATGGCAATGTACTGTCATAATCACTACATTTGTAACAATTACTATACAATCCAAAGCAGAACTTATTCGTCAAAGGTGCTAACTACTCGTATTAATATTCGAGACAATAAATCTATTTTATAGAGATTCTGAAATTGTTTGATATGGTGATACGAAAATATGCAAAGAGGTATCAAGTAACTGATAACTAAACAGGAAGAATAACGATACCGTTGCTTTACAAAATTGAAGACAATACTTCATATGCTTCAAGAAAAAGCAAGCCAAAGTTTGCTAGAGTTGCTCAAAACCAACGAACCGATAACGTTAGTTGAAGAGAAGAGAAATTCTTATCTTTTATTATACAAATTCTTAATTTTAAATCAAACTCAGAATGTTCCAACAACAGTCAACAAAATACCGGTATTCGAATCAACGTCTTCATGTCAATCATAACATCAAGTACCTATTTATTTTAAAGGCGTTAATCTTAACTTTCATTATCTTAAAAAATCATGTCTCACACATTTACAATAAAAAATCTTTACTTATTAGATACGGTATCTAAAAACTTAATGAACCATGTAACTCGCTACAAACACAAAAAAAATATACTCGAAAAGAGCACGGCTACTTGAGGACATCAATAAACTAAGAGGTTTATTGCATCCGTCTTGACGTTTCAGCTTCGATGCATAATAATTTATTAACAAGACGACGCGTTTTTAGATTTCAGCTCCGATTCATAATAATTTGTTAACAAGACGACTGACACTTGACGCCCCATAAGTGTAACACACTAAAGAAAGACTGCCTTGTCACCACTAAAATTGGAAACTTACCTCCCAAGCGTATTTCGTATCCAAAGGTTGAGTTCCCCACTTGCCGATAAAAGGGCCATACTTGGTGCCGACAGAGATGGACATCCGGGCGAATATAGCGCCTGATTTTATTATTAGCTCTTCTGGTAAATTAAAATCCGGAGGATCTTCAGGCTCGTCATCTTTTAATTCATCCTCTTTCACTTTCGGACTTTTATCTGGGTCTAAGTATCTTTGATTTTGAAGGTCTAAAGATCTATGCAAATAAGGAGGTCCATACTCTGAGTAGTTAGGTGGTATGAAAGTATCAGGTAAGCCAAATTCTAGAGAGCCGTAGTATTCTTTCACGTCGGTTCCTGGCGGCATTGTTTCTTGTTTGATATGGACGAGGGTCGGCGCCGATTCTGACGTAGCAGAGTCAGTGGGGCTTAATGGCGGGCTTTCAGATCCCTGGCTGTCTGCTGCTGTGGACAAAAAAAAAGTCTATTCAGCTTATCTAATATTTTTGAGAGAAAATGTTTAGATATATTTTATTAGATTAAAATACAAAATATACCTGAATAGTTTTATCGATGCCAAATAAGGCTTAAATAATCTTTTGAAAGTACATATTGGGTAGTATAAACAACACTTAATTTAATTAAATAAATCGGATAAGAGTCATCAACCTATTCTGGAATTGAAATCAGACATAGCAACGCATCTCGATGCTCAATTTTTAAAGAGCATTAAAAAATATATAAAAAGGAGGACATGCAAGATGTTCGTATTGTGTCGGTTTCCGCTCGCCACAAAGCATTTCCGCTTGTCTCTACTCTCTTAGAGCATCACGAAGGAATGCAAATACATCATTGTTTTATTTTATTGCGAGGACGCGTATTAACTGTGCGTACGCCTATTTTTACATTCATTGATGAGTAGACGCTAAGGCGCCAAACGTAAAGTTTGGCGCAATTACCTAATAATCCTTTAACTCTTCTAGGTTTCCCTACATTTGTGACGATGTCAAGACTACAAGAAGTCCTTTATTCTAGTATCACATTAGTAATTTCCTTATGCAACATTCACTTTCTTACTTGGCTAACGATGTTGTAGAAAAAATATAAATAAACATAAAACAATAAAAATACGAATGCTGTAATATTACTATATTTACTAATAAGAATTTTTAATTAAGATCACCTTGTTTGATTTTGTTATTATTTACATACCTAATTCTGTGTTTTTTTTTTGGTGGACACGACGACATTTGATATTTCTCTGTCTAATGTTTATATAGCACGAGGCAGAAGCTTTTTATAAGAACAGATAAGTTATGATTAATTTAAAAGGTTCTAACTTTTAGTAGAAGTACTTACTACATGCAAAGAGTCTAATGTCTTCCACTACAATGTTATTTGAAATTTATAGACGCATCCATCATATTCAATGAAGAAAACGAACGTGTGTCATCAATAAAGCTCCCCTTAGCAAATACGGCTGAAATAGACATGATATTAATCATACAACCGACCCTATTACTGCTAATATACTTGTTAAAACAACCCCTGTCTTGATGCATCTTCCTAGGCACGTGTCGTAGAAAAAACACCGTAAAATTAGATGCTCAAGAGTTTTATTCAAACGAATGATAACCGTTTAACATAACAAAGATGCAATACAAAAATACAATGCGCAGGATGCGTGGACGAGTTTCATTATGCTATGTCTTTTGGCGTTGGTTGAACTTGGTTGCTATGGAGGTTCACCTGCCCGATTATTTATTTGAAATGCTTAAATGAGATATCTCGAAATATATGGAGTCTATTATCGCTAAGTTTTTTGAACAATAGAATGCAGTCGTAAAACTTCAATAATAAATCGTTACGGATGATGAAATCAAACAATAGGGGTGTAGACAACTTTTTTAGTTTTATATTATAGATATACATAAAATATATCTAATATTTTAAAAAATATAATTCAAAATGCAAAAATAAATTTATTTTTCTAAATTTCTGAATTGAAATTTTTAAACAAAACATCATAATTATAATATGTTTGTCAAAACATATTCAATGATAATGAAACTAAATGGATAAGAATCGACAGCAGTGCAACGAAAACTAACTACCTATACACATACAATGATCTTATTTAAAATATCAAATATGTGTTTTAATAACCTGGCACTGATCGTTAAAATTTATGTGTGCTTAATAAACATAAAATTTAAAAATAAACATTTCCCTTTTAATTTTCTGTCGTTTTGAGGGATCGCCAACAGTCTGCACAGTTCAAATGTTCGAAGGGAACGCCGTAAAAACTCGCATTCGAATTTCAAATTCAAATGAGCCGTCGCAAGGTCCATTTGTCGCGAGGCGTGCGCGGACAATGCGGACGAGTCATCGTTAAATCTTCGGTTTCCGCAGAAACACGACGGATTTATAATAAGAACACGCTATGGACATAGGACGTGTGGAGAGGTGAAAGCAATCTAGAAAAATAGGTCTGTTTAAATTAGTACCTTTTTGGAGAAATAGAGACGTACAACTTTTTATAGGAAATTATTTTCGGGTAGGAAGACGGAATATCATTATCATCAGGATTGCGTTTTTTTTTAATTTTTTTACTTAGACCTTATTTCCAATAATATAATATAATTATGATTTTGTGTTTTTTATGGAATGCCCACAATCCTAGCTTTCCGCCAGCGGCGGCCGCGTGTATCCTGTATTATACGTATGCACCTTCCTCTTGAATCAGTATGTATATTGGTTAAAACCGCATTAAAATTCGTTATGTACTTAGTTTAAAAGATGTCAGCGTACAGACAGCGTTGAGCGACTTTGTTTTGTACTATGCATAGATGATGTTTTTCCCGCTTCTAGCCAAAATATTAGTGTATTAGTACAACTGATTTTATTTATTCGTCAAAATATATATATTATTCGTTTATTGAAGTCGATTTTTAAAATATTATATGAAATTACCGAAATTAAAAATAATTCACCTATTTTTTAATAATAAATTAATTACGCTACACTTTAAGCACAACGCGTATAATTAATAACAGGTAAATTAACAATCCTTCGTTCTCTTTTCCTCCTTCAAATTGTTTAAAATCCCTTCATTTCTATTTTATAGAAAAAAACTATAAATTGTTTCTGATCTAGGTGTACCTTCGTTGTTTGAGATTTCTATAATATTTGCAATATGTGCACTAACTACGTAGTAATTAATTGTAGTAGTAAAATAGATGCCATTGTTCAGAAAACTATTTTAAAATATAATATCAAATACCTATTCGATTCCTATAGCACCTAAGTATTGTCTATGGGTATTTTATTATATCAAGTTTATATTTTAGTTAATACAATCATAATATGAAAAGATATTTTGACTATCCCGTCTCTGTGCTGAAGACCGCACTGTAAGTAGATTTCACGTGTTAGCTACGGCACTGTCAATAGCTCTCTTTACTGTCACCGAGTTCATGGTTCGATGACGCATAAATATGCCATAAATTACAACCTTTATTACCAGTTGTTAGAACTCAAAATATGTCTGAGATCCATTGATGTGATGTTAAGTAGGCGTGCAAACTGCAAAGAGCATCGGACATGCAGTCGCGGAATTCATTTGAGACACAACACAATGGCATTTGGAATTCACGGAAACTGAGACTTTCCAGTATTAAATTTTGTTATATAGCTAGAAAGCTTCGTGCATTATCGTTTGTTGTAAAGTGCTTATTTTGTAATGACTTGAAGCGGCAATACCGGCATTATCTATGTGACATAAAAAAATTATATAGTTAAAAATTCATGACATTAGTTTAAAGAAACATTAAGTTTTTGATTTGTCATTAAAACTTAACGAACGAACGTCTTGATAAACTTATTTTTAAATAATACAAATAATTTCATTAATAAACTAGTTATCTGGTGATACTCAATAATCATCTTTGCTAATAACAACTTAGAGATGCATATTTTGATTTAAAACATAATGAAGACCACATAATACCTACTTACTAACTTTTAGCAAAATGCAGACAACTATTATACTGATGATTAAGGTCCGAAATAAACACTTTTAACATTATTAATGGAATTGTAGCAATTCTTTTTTCTTAAAACCTATTTGTAACTGCAGGTGAAACCGCAGAAATTTATTTAAACGATGATCGCATCGTATTTCTCACACCACAGCAAAATCAACAATAACTTTAATAGTTCGAAAGCTGTTCCAAATAGTTTACGTAAATAACCTTTTTAAAAGACGGTGCCCGCCAAAAGATAGCGTCAATAAAAAATAAAAAAGTCGTCTATCTAATGTCTATGGCCTTTTTCGCACGCTCTTGACGACGCAGATATAGCACTTGAGTACCGAAAAAAGTGGCAAAGGAGCGGCGGTTAGAATGCCTTGTTTGCGTTTAACAAGCGGAATGATGTTCTTATCTGATTTACTACTTCGTTCTTAAAAAAATACAGGGCAGCTTTTGGAATTTAATTCAAAATTTTGTATCTTAATTCCGTTTTTGCGTGATAATTATAATCATCATTAGATATTAATAACTCTATAATAGACGAAAAATCAACAGTAGAAAATATAATAATTCAAGCTTTTACAATGTTTTATAGTAGACGCTCATTTTCAAACTTTCCAATTCAACTTTAAATCATATTTTCAACACACTTATCTATTTTTTTTTTTTTTGTTTTTAAATTTTGAATATTAATTGAAGTTTAAATATCAATTGAGTGATGTGTTATAAATACATCTTCCAACATATAATAACAGAATATATTATTACAACTTACCAGATATCTTCATTTTCGAAGATGCATCAAAATTATGCAATTGACGAAATTTCATCATATTGTCTCATGGTTTATTAGCTAAATAAATATATTTAATGAAGTCTTTTTAGTCCAACAATTACCTATATCATCACTTCTAATGAATTCAAAATTACACTTCATCAATATTCTAACAATAATACGAATCACTGTCAAATATATCACAACACAAAACAGTCGAATGTCAAATTGTTCCAAATTTAAAATTATTAGTGATGAGCGCTCATCGTCTACGCGCGCTCTAATCGAGCGTGATAGTGCGGCCACGCTGATATGTGCATCGGCCGCAACGCACGGTGCGAGAGTAACGGGAGGAAGCGAGAGCTCATCCCTAGATTCCCGAATCACATACCCTGGCCCGGATCGCCCGTCCCAACCCGCGCCCCGCCTGTGTCTCTGTACACCCCTCTCTTTCACACAATTCGGGGTCGCATAGGAGGTTGCCCCCTGAAAATATCCGATAGGATTTGCAGTAAACAGAATATACGTATTGATGAAATGCCATAATTACAAAACCGTAAATCGAATTACGTAACCACTTAATTTCCGTCTACTGTATTTTTTATTTCAATAAATCTCTGCTATGGTAGATATGGTAGATATCTTTGTCACCGTCACGCTCCATAATCACGTGTCAAATTAACTATACCCAGTTTCAAATATCAGTGTTCCAATAAAAATCAAATAATTAAAACAATAAAGTCCATTCATTAAAAATTGTAGCAATAATAATCTTTACTGCAGGATCAACCTACAAACAATAGCCCTTCAGTTATCGACAGTGCCTAGAACAAACGATTACAGTTCGACCAACGTATTGAGAGCTCTGGAATCTCACATCATGGCCCATTTATAATAACTTTCAGCCTATCAATGAGGGGTGCGGTATATCGAACAATGTTGGACAACGATACGAGACAAGGCAACGATTAAGAAAACAAAGCTGATTGAAAGTGTGCTACCATGCGTCTTATCGTCGCGAATTCGATCTAACTGCCACTGGTCTAAAACAAAACATCTGAGTCTACATAAACAATAAAAATATATATCATTCAGTGTACCAGCCTGTACCTATATTTATTTTGTCTATCTTCATAATAAGTTGCCATAACAAACCTTTTTAAAATTTCATTACGTAAAATGTTCTATTGACTTGCGTAAATTATTCAGCTGCATTTCAATGCTGGCTGAAAATAGCCCGCACAGTAGAGTATGCCAAGTGAGACGGCAGATAACTAGATAACGCTCAAGATCTGTGCACGAGGCCGCGATTGGCCGACGACAACGGCGGGCGTGGCCACGTAGCGGATGCGCCAATGGGATGCTCCTTATTATCTGCGTCTTTGTCTGTCAGGATTCTGTAGTAATGTTGCAGGTGCTACGGCCCAAAGGCGCCATCGTGCACATACTATGTTATATACCAATACATTGCTATCGATTGACGTTTTTTAATAATTTATGGGTATAGAAACTTGCTTTCTTGCCTTGGAGATCAAATAAACTCTATCTTTTTTTTACATCTTTTTGAAAAACTTACTTTTGCTTTCTTTCTTTATCTTTAAATAATTCATAGTATCGAGCACGAGTCGAGTTAAGAAACAATATTAAAACGTCACTTAAGTTTATGTCGCAACCGATTAATTAAATTGAAGATATATCATTTAAGTTAATATAACAAAATTCCTATGGAAATTTTAAACTTACCATTGCCTAAATTTAAAACCCATATTAAGAATTGTCTACTCGGTAAAGGAGTATACTGTTAATGAATATTAAAACGACAAAACTGCTTGGTGTTGAATATGGCTTATTTTTTTATATATTAAATTATTAATCGGTGAGCTTGTTTGACTAGACATGTGATTCGATTGACGTAAATACTGTTTTACTTTTATATTTATTAATATTTTATTGGAAAGTGACTTTATATTTTAATGAAGTCATTTTTCAATCTTCAATTATACGAAATAAAACAGGGAGAAAAAAGCAGCCCTTGCTGAGTTTCTTGTTGGTTCTTCTCGGTACAAGGTCTCCTCCCGCCGCAGATTTACGAACCGAAAGCGTAGCTCTCGACTTTCACAAGTGCTTGTAACAGCCTAGACTGAATAAATAATTTTGATTTTTAACAATTAACCTTTTTCTACTTTTATTACTAATTTTCATTAAAACCACTATTTCACACATCAAATTCTTTAAACTTCATATGCCTATCGTAATTTCAAAGATTGAACTTAATTACAACTTATAATTTATTTACAAATAGATGACGTAGTAAAATCAGAATTTTTAATATTTTTAAAATAAATAATATAAAAGGACCTATTTTAAAAAATTCACCTACAGGGAAGTTAGATTATACCTGGGTGATAAGTATAGTCTACTTTATGTGTACAAATAGCGCGAAAAAACCTAGTTATTAATACATTTATTAAAAACGTAACATCAGTGTTACACTTTAACAAATAATCTGTCTAGATTTTAAAATAACAAAACTAATGTCTATTTCATTTATAAAAGTCTCAGTATTTTCAAATATCTAAGTAACTCTATTTCCTATTAAATCAAACATTCAATATTAATCTCACAGATTCCATCACACTGCATGTTGTGAAGGTGACAACTAGAATCGATTTGCGATAGACACGATAGCTGATAATCGATTTCCCGTTTCTACAGATGCCATAATCAATTTTATACCGTTTCGTATTAAATCGAGATGTGTCAAGCTTATTAAAATTGCGAGAACGCAAAGTACTTAGGTATTTATTGGAGATCTGGCCAATTTTCATATTGACTTTTAACAATATATCCAGAAGCACTATAATGCATTTTATGCTCAGTACTTTAAAGTTAACAACACTATTCCTCACCAACGAGTAATGTATAACAAAGCGCATCTAATTCACTCGTAGCAGTCGTAGTTCTAGACAGGGTCTAAGACAAAAGAGAAATTAATGCAACCGTTAATGAGGTAGATAGGGACGATGGCGCATACCTAGTTAGTTTTTTTCTAAGAGACAATTTTTTTTTAAATAATGTAAGCAATTTTCTTCTCTTTCCGTTACAGTTGAGACGTCCTTTGAACAAATTCAAGTGAGGATTAGTGCTTATGCGTCCTTTTAAAATAAAATCTTTTTATGTCACTAGATGTAATATTTTTAAAATTAATATACCTAAAGTGAAAAATATGCACGTTTGCATTATTAGTAAAAAAATGATTATTTTGTAAATTTTGTATAGAGTCTGCACAAGAATTTATATGTCTCTTTAAGGTTTAAAACATCATCAAAATTTACATTCAACAAAAACAAAAGATATTTTCAGGCACATTTCACGGAAGAATTTATAAGAAAACAAAAATTTATATCCCCCAATATGGCGGGGTTAACACAAATTTATTATAGTTGCGGTGTCACAAAACCACAATATAAAGGAGATATTTTACAATATGCTCGCTAATATATCATTGTACCAACTTATAAGACAGTTGCAAGGAAACTGTGTATTCATAAGCTTTTTCTTTTCCATTCTTGCAAGTTCGCTTTATTTTTGCATGGAGCTTTAGTACCGTTTATTAAACTGACTTTAAAAGAGGATGAGGTTTTTAATTCGACCAATGTTTTTTTCTTTTCATAAATATGTTTTAGAATGTCTTCATCAATATTACTGATAGCTTTTTTTTTATTGCCGATTGTACCACTAAATTTTATCGATTATCCTTTTGTTTAATTATGGTGTACAATAAAAGTATTCATTCATTCTTTATTTTTTTTTGAAAGGTCATCTTTCTAACTGGCTCAGATTTTCTTGTTAAATTTCCCCAATCCTCATGGATTAGCAATTTTTATAAAATTTAAAGCCGTCTTGTATCTCCGTTTTCTAAGACGCGCTCGCAAGGTTTTATAAATGTTTAATCATAGAAAAAAACAAATTCAGTTATAAAAAAATCATTTGGTCATTTTAAATTATATCAAATCTTTTTTTGTACATATATATTATAAAGTTAAGATCAAATATGTTAGTCATAAAATCGATCCAAATTCCTATTAAGAGTCATCTCTGCTATCTTTTGCCACTATGATTCTATTTTTGCAGACAAATAACTATGTGTTTACTACTAAAATAAAAATATTTCTTTTAAAAGCTTTCTTCAAAACATAAAAAAAAAACAATTCAAACACAAGGTGATTAAAAAATCAAGAAACTTGATTTGGGCTTTAAAACAAGTTCCTTTTTTTTTTAACTTATCATCGGCCGCGACCATTTTAAAACTACTGAACGCTTTCATGCGGTTTTGACCATTTCCTATATAGTAAGTAAGTAAATATTTTTATTGACCTTCACATTACACTTTACAATTATAAACAAAAAATAAAATGAATAATAAAAAGTGATACAGAATATAGAAGACAGAAATACACATAATTCAATCCATCATGCACATGTGATGTGGTCAACCAGGACACTACCTCAGCTTGTGCTGTTGCAGTGAGAATCAGCTCACGCAACAGCGCTGATATTCTGGCAGAGCCTGTGGGTAGTGACATTTGATATAATTTTAAACAATAAAAATAATGTATGTGCTTATAATACTAAGTGTCCGTTACATTCCTGAACGCGAATAACGAGTTGTCAGTATACAACACTTCACCCCGCGACCCAACCATCTGACAGAAAGTTTCGCCTTATTAGTCTGTGACCTAGAAAGTTTCGCCTTATTAGTCTGTGACCTTGAAAGTTCCACCATATATTGACGTAAGCAAGCCAACGAGTAAAAAAAAAAAAAATGAGAAATCCTACGTAATCAAGTTTACCCGATACACGTGACAATGCATTGCCACGTATACAAAGATGGAATAAAAAAAAGAGCTATATTGGACGTCCCAAACTCACCGCCAGTTCTTATAAACAAGAAATGAACGTCATTGAATCTAATCGGCGCCGGCGTTTCTCCTACCCCTCCATAGCGCGTCG